CAATAAAATCTTTAAACTCCTCTGTCATATTTCTTGTCTTTATTATTCTTTTACTTGATCAAATACTTCATTATTGTGCCATATAACTTCAACATCTCAATCCGGTGGTTGATTTCACATCAAGTGATATCAAAGTTATTCTGATATCTTGTTTATTTTACTACACTATGAAAGAATGATACTTAAACTATTGGAGACGAACCTGCGTATTTACTTGCTTCGTAGAGTGGGATATTTATTTAAAGGATCGTGCTACATGTACCGAATTTTTTTACCTAATCTCTTGCCAACTACTCACAATAGGGGGGTGGGGGACCACATCTTGGGATTTTTTTATTCATGCGGGGCTCGCATGCATGTGAGAGGGGTAAACAATTCAGTACATTAAATTATGTTCAAACACCTTTATCCTTATTTAAATGTTGACTTCAGAGATAATTGGAAACTCTCGTAACAATTACACAATATTTTTCTCTCTATAAAAAATGAGTTTTTCTTCGTCTGAACGTCAAAAAGAAGTGGTGGGACGGTCGGAAGAGGTGGTTGGAAAGCGCGGTGGATTTGTGGATGAGTATGAGAAGCAAAGGCAATTGACAAAGCTGTTGGTGAATGTGAATATTGAGAAGAGTTTGGGTCCAGTGAAGGTGGTGATATCGCCGGAAAACACCGTCGGCGACTTGATAAAGGCGGCCATAGAGATTTACGTGAAGGAGAAGCGGCGGCCATTGTTGGATGGTACTGATCCCAGGAGTTTCGAGCTTCATTATTCCCAGTTTAGTCTTCAGAGTGAGTTCTCAAACCTTGCTTATTTCCTATATATGTTTTTCAGGTTGTGTTAAAAAAGTTATTTAAAATAAGAATTTGTTAACATTAAGAGTAACTGCATAAATTATATTTAACAATAAGTAACCGCATTAAATTTCTAATACCATCCTGAGTTTGAGCTAGAATATTAAAGTTAGGAAAGGAATTACATAGTATTGGTGACATGTTCTTGATTATTGGAAATTTTAATTATTAACATGTAATATTCTTGATTTTGTTATTATTTTCATGAATTGATTATGCTGGTATTTATTTGGATTGCAGGCTTGAAGCCATATGAGAAGTTGGTGAACTTGGGTTCAAGAAATTTCTTTTTATGTCTAAAATCTGCTGTAACTGCATCTTCTTCTGACTAAGCAAAGGCAGCAAGCAGCCAATTAGTCTCCATTTCCTATGAAAATTTTAATTTCATGAATTTCTTACTCTAAAATCTTATTGGCTGAGTAATAATATCCACTATTCTGCACAACTTTTGATCAACCATTGTAAATAAAATTTGTTTTGAGTTGGTTAACAATGGTTACGAGTTGTGAAATTTGGACCGCATCATCGCTGTAGGTTACAAGTGGTATCAAAGCCTCGTTTGAGCTCCACAGTTGTTTCAAATGGCAGATTCACATAATGTTGCTGAAGTTGAGATTTGGGAGGGGGCGTGATGTTATCCCCACAGACAATAAATCAAAGAAACGAGGAAAAAGCAGGGTGCGAGGACTACTGTTATCGAAGAGAAATTTGTTTCCATATGAACGCAAGCAATTAATCTCCCATAACCAATAAAGAACGTTCAAGTGAGCCCGCTCGAATACCACATGCGACGAGCTTAGGAGTTTTTTTCAACGAACTTTTAGCACCTCACCACCTTAATGATTCTAGCCTCTCACTTCACTCATGAAATTAGTTTTTGAAGTTAAGCCATGTTTGAGGCTCATTATTTCATCAAAATAAATTTTATAATAGTAAAATTTTGGAAGAAGTTCGCTTAATAAATAAAAAGGAAAAAAATGGATTTACATACAAAATATTTTAATGTTGAAAATAAGTTTTTAAATAATAGGAATCTAACATGCGCTAAATATTAATGCACTTCGAGCTTGAGGAGAATTATGGACAGAGGATAGAAAAACAGTATCAAGAGAATTTGGGGAGAATCAAAGAGAAATCTTTACAAACCACAAGAGTGTTTTTTCTCAAAGTGGAACTTGAGGAGCGAACACCTGAAAAGCTATAAACAGAACAGGAATCACACTACATAAACTTGGATGTAAATCAACTCAGTTGTATATTATACATCCAAAAATTCTACAACTAAACAGCAGCTAGAAAAAAGGGCGATCTAACACGCTGTTAACTAGCTATGTCTCTACACAAGCACGGCCTATAATCAGCACCCAGTAATACGTTTACAGACAAACAAGAAATGTAGTAAGGTCATTAAACAGGGATATCCATAAATAGGAGTCTGGTGCAAAATGAGGTCAGTAAAAACTGTTTGTAAAAAATCAAGCTGTCTATTAGGTTACTCGCCAGGGACAGCAACATTGATTTCAGCGGGCTGATTCCTCGAGTTGGGATGCATTGACCAGTTATCTGCATGGAAAGAAGGGGAAGTTCGATATGTATCGTCTACTCCTGTAGTGGAGATAGGAATAGCAGCAGCAGGTGTAACAGTTGTTGACTCTGCTTTGTGTTTCTTGGTCTTCTGCTCGTGCTGGTTCCCCGCCAGAAAACTGCCAACCACAATCTAGTACATAAACACAAGATTAGCTCGAACTTTTTAATGTTTCTACCTTAGGACTACGAACAAAATAGAAAGCAAACGAACTTTTCAAGCTTCAGTCAGATAGGAAAACAAATTAAGCAGAAAAGAGCTGCATTACCTGCACAGGACTGGCGGCAACTAATAAACCAGCAACTCCACCCCCTACAACACGCCCATCTGGGCTTGCTAATGAAACACTCATTCCTCCAGACCTGTTCCTTATTCCTCCAGTCTCGGATGGCATAAACAATCCAGTCAATGACAGTATATCAAAACGACCCTAAATAACAAAAGCAATTTGACATCAAATACAAGGTTGATGACAAAAAAACACGGACATATAGAGGATGACTAACAAAAACGAAATATCTGAACTGGCCAAGCCACAATAATTAACTCAAGTGACTATCATCACTTACTGAGATAAACCTAGCATCCATGGCATATTCTACCTAGTCAAGCTTTGCAGAAGATTAAACTTTATCAACTACAGACTGTTTACGTACTTATATTGGCTGAAACTGCATTGCGTTTACATAATCTCGAGTCCAGTGAAGCTTACTCACAATTTTCTTTTGACTACAATATAATTTAGTTCATTGTCGTAAAATAAAAACTACAAGCATCATAATCATCCAACCAAGTTTTGTTTATGATTTTTAGTTTTTTGATAGATAAAAGAAATTCTATATCTAATAGCACTATATGGGAACCCAAACCTGTACTTCACAGATTTATAACAAATTTGTGTCATACTAAACTTTACAGAAGTTGAAAGAGTTGGGGTACTCTTTTTCCCACAGAGACAGTATTTAATCCAACGATTCTCAAAATTTATAATACATTTATAAACGGTCAAATTTCATTTACAACCACGCATTCCAACATTATAACATAGTCGAGATTATTAAGTGACAATTACATTCACAATAAAGGAGTGGTGCATGTATTTGAATCTCATTCTACTTATTTAGCATGTCCATATTAAATAATTACTTTCAAGATATTACTATCGAGATATCAAATACAATAAGTTCACGGCAAGGTGACATGTCATTAACCACCTTATTTAATGTAGACAGACAAAAGGGAAAAGAATGAAGAATGAAGTAACTTTCCTCAAAGAAAGAACTTTAGAGTCTTAGACGTACAAAAAGGTTCACATTTTTTTATAGCTGGGAAGAGGCAACAAATTGTTCAATAAGCAAATAACTTACATAGGAGAGGTTGCGAATTGCAATAGTTCTCCACTTAGAGAAAGCGAAAGTAGAAATGCACTAAAATCAAGTGATATTAAGGAGGTGTTCTAATGTATTATATAAAAAATAATTATTTTCAGAATCAAAATCATAAAACGTAAAAATCAAATTAAGGAATTGTTCGTTCAGAAATTTATTAATTTATGACAGGACAGGTAGTAATAGTCCTTTTAGTACACGAGGCAAAAGTAGAAACGCATCTAAATCAAGTGATAATAAGAAGTTTGTTTTATATAGATCAAAAAAGTAATTCCTCTCAGATTTAAAATCATAAGAATACAAAAAAGATTGATTTTTAAAATTCAGGATGCACATGTCAGGCGAACTAAAAGAAAATGTCTTGGAGAATCAAACCAAACAATTGAATCACCTCATATGTCAATGTACCACCAGAGGAATCAGGTTGACGAAGAGTTACACTTGAAATCACACCATTAGCAGAGAGAACACATATTGCACGAGGCCCTTGCTGAGAGAAAGATATAACCTTCATAGTCACATCCTAGAACAATCGGAAGCAGAATCATTAATTCTGTAAATTTGAACTTCAAGCTGTTAACCTAGATAGAAAATAATACATTATGTACTAATTAGTACTCGAACAAAATAACTAAATACGACTTAAGACGATGCCAAAGAGGGTTTCCTGTGCCTTAGAAATGAATGATGTATCTTAAGGCACACGAAATGCTTATTAAAAATGAATCTTGCAATTTAATTGATAACTAAAATCTTACAGAAAAAGTGGTAAATTATCCTCTTTAGTAATGATGCCTAATCTTAGAAATGACTTATTTATTATCCACTACAGTGTAATTTGCAACAAAAGCTTTGAGATAATTGAAAAGGAGCAACACTAACTTGATAAGAATAAAAAATGAAAAGAGGGATAGAGATTATAAATTATTTGTTCTTCTAAGTAGCAAATCAATCAGTAATTTAGTAAAAATTTACCTCTCCAGCATTAGCCGTGATTATATGAGGGGTAAAATTAGAACCAACAGAACACGGAACCCATTCACCTACGACGAAATAACATTGAAGATTAGCAACTTGATATAAAGAAACTTTACAGCCAGCAATCAATTAATTTATACCAGCTGAAACAACAGAAGTACGTATAATTTACATCAGCAAATGCAGAAACCAGAAACAGTAAACTTGAAAGACGACTTCAACAAACTTTGAATTACTTTCATAGGCTTTGGCGTGCAAAAATTTCAAGACTGAGTGGAAATAGTGATCTTCGACCAAGATAAACTGTAGAACAAAATACAACCTCGTTTATGTATTAACGTAACAATCACAAAAATGAGCAAAGCACAAATGGACTCTCTCTACAGAAGAAAAAGTTTCAAATTACGGCTACGAGTTTAAGATTCCCTCAATTCCACACCATCCAAAATAGAACAAGTCAGTCATTCACATTAGGAACCTAATTGAGGAATCTATTCACAGGTCCCACTTCTATACTCAGACATCATTTGCTATAATTCCTTTAGAGAACATGACGGACAAGTACTAGTTACTATCCAATGCACGGTACCAAACATGCATTTAAGTCTCAGAAGCGAAACACCAATTCCACTACAAACACAGATCAAGACATATAAAAGCTTCAGAAAAAAGAACATGCACTCAGTAATACTTGAACAGCCATATATAGTATTGATCAATTATCAATCTTTACCTTCCAACTCCATTCTAGAGTTCTGCGTCTTCTTGGTCGAGCCGACTGGATGTAGTTTTCCGCGTTTCTGACCAGCCGAGAAGTCGATAACCGGAGGAGCCGAGGAAGAAATCGGCTTAGGGGAGATGACTTTGGTGACAGAGCCATCAGGGGCATATTTCCTAGGCCTGCCCCTCTTCTTCTTAACAGTGGTGGTGCCATCCAACGCGGCAGCCACTGCCGGTGACGGAGTGAAACCCACCTGCGGTGGCGTTACAATCACAGGTGGTAGCGGTTCTGGTCCACTCACCTGGCTTGGATTCTCTGTGGTCCTTGGAGCCACATGATAATCTGAGGGAGCATCTGATCCCACCACTGTTACTCCACTGCTACTCATAGTACTTTCCTTACCTTCCATATAAATTCCAAGAAATAAAAAACTTACAATCAAATCTGTCTTCAAAAACACATCATTTTCTTGAAAACAAAGCCCAAGAAAATTTTCAAGATTTTTCTGAAATCAAGAAACTTTCGCAAAAAACAAGAAAAAAGTTAAAAATACTTAAAACCCAAAACCTAGACGAAGGATCTCAACTTTAACACTTTCAAACCCTTTCAGGTCTTGTAAAAGCTGAAAATGTTCATGAAATTCAGAACAAGAAAAAAAAAAGGAATTTTAGTGAAAAAAAATTAATTTTTTGGAGAAAACAGTGAGATTTAGAAGAGAAAGATTAATTTTTTTTTTCCTGGGGCTTCAAAGTTAATTTAAGGTTCCATACTCTCCTCAGATTGTCCGAATTCTGATTTTAAAAATATTAAAAATGGGGAAGAAATTATTAAATATTGGCCAAATGATCATTAATTGTTTGAAATCAAGGAAATTATGTATTTTGGTTAATAAAATGGTTATGTATTTTGGTTAATAAATGGTTGGAGTCCGATGAAAAAAATAATAATAAAAATATTAGTATTTAATTGTAGTTGGGAAAAGTGAAATTAGGTTGCCAAGGCTTCAAGACAAGCATCATTTTCTTTTCTAAAATTAAAAAATAATACTAATTTACAGACATTACATCTGT